GACTCGAACTGCAATCCCTCCGTTGTCCAACCGAAGCCAGTGGGTATACTGACTACGCTACCACGGCTCCAAATGCAAAGTGAAAGAAATTGTGTACATGTAGAGGCCTTGCGACGAGCTGATCACCCGCCGAAGAAGTCCTACCGAATGTGTAAGATCTAGAAAAACCGAAGTGAACGGAGAAGTTCATGGAGGTAGGCCTAGGCCCACTGGGGCTGTAGTGCCAAGGAAAAAAAAATAGTAATTGACATCAAACAGAAAACAGACTATAAATCTGGCTTGGATGCCATGTCATTTTCATGTATACTCCTAGAGTTGCCTTAGAAATGCAAGTTTTCTGACTGTTACAATACCAGGTTTAGTTCATTAGTAATTTTTATTGCGGGTAATTTGAACGCACAGTGCTGTGATTGTGTCTAATGGATGTCATTTCATCATGTTTCGGTTATTTGCATAATAATTGCATGTATTACAGTCACACACTTCATAATCTTGTCAGCATCGCTTTCCAGTTCCATTGAAGCTTGTTTATGTGTTAACGGGAGCCGTTCTTTCTTTTCAGTCCGGAACGACAGTAGTAGAAACGCTCTACAGAAACAAATCCAGTCTCGAGGCAATATTTCGAATCATCGACAAAGATAATTCGGGTAAGTTAAGTGTTCAGGAAAGGCCGCGCCATAGCTCAAGCGGCTAGTCGTGGGCTTCCCACCGCGGAGGCCCGGTGTCTGGTCAAGTGGGATTTGTGGTGGACAAAGTGGCGCTGGAGTAGGTTTTCTCCGAGAACTTTGGTTTCCCCTACCAATCTTTATTCCACCAATTGCTCCACAATCACCCTCACCTATCATCTGGGGCTGGTACAATAGGCCAGAAGTGGCCGCAGTACAAGGGACTTAGTCCCACGTCACTTGTAATAAAAAAAAGTGTCACAAACTTTCAAGAGTTCATAAGAACAAGATTGGTATAAAATAGCGTCTTCTGACGTGTGATGCCGTCTACACTGATAGACTAGGGTTCTACTTTCTCAGACTTCAGGGCATACACTACGTCTAAGTACGAAATTATAAGGTAAAAGCCTGCCTCTTACAATTAGGGTTTCCCCCCTCCCCCCAGTAATTTATCAACTATTTGACCAAGTTAAGATGGCCACTAGTTTTCGGGTTTCTACAGATAGATCGCGGCAGAACAGTTGAAGCTCAGTTCTCATGGACCCCTTGATTACCATGCCCAAAAATATAACTACCTGCTAGAAACACCAAGGTCCTATGAAGTTACATACAGTTGCACCAAAAGTCCCACAGTACTTGTGTCAGTTAATCATCTAAATTCATAAAGTACATACCATGTGAAAGACTGTTTGTTTCTATAACTTCGGTAAGTGACACCGATTCCATCTATTGAGTGAAATTATGTAACAACTGATTAATATCAAGCCGATGTCTTCGGCTGTGACGGTTTTATAGCAAGTACCCCGAGCCGAACTACTCGGTAAGCCAAGCTCCGTAGACATTGAAGTTAATGCATGATTCGGCGCGTTGGTTATCATGACTGTCAGGGGGACTCAACACTCCTCCAGGTAACACCAGCTGTAGGGGAATATCATCGTAATTTCAGCATGTTACAGGGCAGCCTGGCGCTGTAACGCTATGTCTGAACCTGAACATTAAGGCAAGTGTCGTGAAATATCTCCTTTATAAAACAACAGGGACAATAACAAGAAGAGTACAGCTGTCATTTCAACTTCAAATTGAATTACTTGCAGAAATGAAGCTACAGTGTTCCGGTAAATTGATTTGAAATTCAGTTACTAGCAGTGATGCCAACTTCTGACATCATCTCTCGTTCCTTCTCCGATCAAGAGTGACACAAGGGAATGGATTATGAAAGTTGCTTTATTTGCAAAGAAAAGAGATTAATGTTCTAGTTTTGAGAGTCCTACATTCTTTGCATTTCTATCAGGAGAGAACTTATTTAAAACTTACCGACTGCAGACTGATGTGTTGTGTCTCAGGAGTGCAACACCTTCTGGGTCAGAATTTACTAGTTTAATGAAAGTTTGAAGACTAAGCATAGTACTCAAGAGATATTTGAGTTCTGCAAATTATTTGTTCATTTATGGTTATTCGGACCTCCTCTGTGGTCTAGTCGTCAGAATTCCTGGCTACAGATCCAGAGATCCCGGGTTCGATTCCCAGCATTACTAGATTTCCTGAGAAGTAGTGGGTTTGGAACAGAGTCCGCTCAGCCTCGTGAGGATAATTGAGGAGCTCTTTTAAGGAAAGAAGAAATTTTAAGGTGACATAACTACAAAGTTAAAGAACTATGAAGAAAAGAAAATTATAAAAAGTGTAAAGGTATCCCTGTAACAGACCGTGGAGGCCCATAGGGTTGTGAGACGTCGAGCCTCTCACATTTTATAGACAGTCGGTACTCAGATGGTGACGTCAGCCTTACGCGCCGGCCGCCCTTTACCCCATAAAGATTTCTGGTACTCATTTGAATTAGAGGCTGAGAGCGGCTGGAAAGGATTAGGTCAATTAAAAAAAATAATTTCTTCAACAGGAATCGAACCCGCGACCTTCCGGCTTGTATCCTAGTGCCTAAATAAACTACGCTACCACGTGACTCCGAAAAAAAAACAAATTGAACAAAATGAGAGGGAAAAAGAATAAATATTGATGTAGAAAAAATGAAGGAAAGGAAAGTGGCATTAAAGGATTATTTTAAGGAGAAGAAGGAGGAGGAGGAGGAGTGAAGGAGAAAGCATTATAGAAAAGTAAAGGGGAAAACTATGACAAAAAAGCACATTATATAAAGAATGAATTAAGGAGATATAAAGAATAAGAGAGAGAGAGGGGGGATGAAGACGAAGAGAGGGAACGATACGGAAGGAAAAATAAGTTCTGGGAAGAAATGATCGCCTTCGTTTATTTTGATACCACACGGATGACACAGAAAACGAAAAACTGAGGGGTGGATATACAGACACAGAGCCAGAAAAGTCACCTCATTATCCTCCTAACAAAAAATTTGGTTGGATACACAGACAGACAGACAGACAGTAGGGTGCTATAAGCGTATTGTTATTTTTGCCCCCTAAAAGAAGGAAAGTTGGCTAAAAATAAAAATAAACTCGCAACTCGTGCCTGGAGTCCTTACAGTAGCACGTAATGACTTCATGTATACTCCAACAAGAAACCGTTACGTGATTGGTGGACTGCATAATTTCAACATGACAAAGTGCACATTAACATTACATTATCTGTAAATGGGAGTTCTATTATTCTGACACACATTCATCCACAGACAATAGAGCGAGATTATTTCAGAATAATTCGTGTGTAACCTTCTAGCACGAGGTCTAATATTCTGTGCCGTGTTTTGGAAGATAATCATTCTCGTCTGACGGTAGAACGACCAAGCCTCGTGTCAGTAATCCCCTCTTCTACCCCACCCCCATCGCTAGCGGCAGCCTCGTAACGAGAACAGGCACCCTGTGAGTTAAATACACCATCATCTTCCGTAAAGCACGTCCTCATTTTGCCACCTCAGGCTGTTCGGGAAGATGAAGATAGTTACTCAACACTTCCAGCATTGCTCCACATTCGAGCGATGAAATCCTAAGGCTGAGAACTGACGGACGTTGTTTTGCTGTCCATGTGCGGGCATAAAAGTGACGTGGGGTATGCGATTCACGGAGATCAATGCGCATGCCCAGAGGGAATTTTTTTTTTAGTTCCTTTGGTTGGGGGATGAGACTGAGTCCACTTGGTACCTCGTCCACTAATTGGTCTATTCTACCAGCCTCGGGTAATAGATGATAAGTGTGGAGTAGTCGGTGGAATGAAAATTGGCAGGGAAAACAGAAGTACTTGGAGGAAAATCTGTCCCAATGCCACTTTGTCGACCACAAATCCCATATTACCTGACCTGGGCTAGAACCATGGTCGAGGTGCAATCCTACCAGATCGGACATAATACACGTAAATAGAAGTACCCGTCAAATAATATCAGAACTAGATAATACTGCACGCATACTAATGAGCCTCAAAGCATTTGACCGCTTCATACGTGTAAACAAGCAACAAAACTGTCGGCCTACAT